GATCTTTTTCAAATTTCAAAGTCGATTACTGTAATTGTTTCTTAATCTAAATTTCTAAATCTAACTGAATGCAAAGCTATTTCCACTGGGAACGTGAAGGAGAATTTATTTATTATTATACCTATCGCCTATGCCTTTCACATCACCTTGGCTTTTGTCTCCCACTATTTTTCACGGTCGCTAGGTAGATTTTTGGTCAGCTTGAGTTTGAGCTTTTGCATGCTCTCCGGACATAAAGGAAGTGCCAATCAAGTATATTATTCTAATCAAGATACTCTAGTCGAACTCAACACTGAGTAAACTTATCAAAACGCCTACGTACTGCGTAACAGTCACAGACGCCTTCGTTCGTTTGCCTGTGTTAGGCGAAGCAACATGTGACCAGTAATAATAATAAGGTGAGGCATAGAACTTTAGGTAAGGGAGGTAAATTGGTTGATAAGGCTTCATATCGTCGTCATTTAAGAGACTAGATATGCTCTGCATACAGAATCACCCTCCTCCTATTTGATAAAGAATGTTAGGCGAATTAGTTTGTGTAGGTGTATATTGCTTCCATTTTTGCTATTTAGTAAAAACTCGTCTTTTGCGAGCGAATCCTCCTGTGGAGTTACTGACTAAAAGTACTTAAAAGGAATAAACTAACAAGCTAAGTTACTTACATTGAGAAAAATTACCCCGAAAATTTGTACTTCAGTGAGTAGGTGAATTAGAGGATTCTTGCAATATGGTTTGATTTTAGACAGTAGTGCTGACTGACTGAGTTTCAATATAGCCGTTGGTTCTTAGAAACCTGAGGACTACGAGAAGTCACTTTACACCTCCCTAGATGGCACAAACCAACATTGGACAGTAATAAGGTAAATCGGTATTGGTGATGCAACTACTGCAGTTATGATGGAGACTTTTTAACTCAGGTGGATGATTTTGATGTAGTTGTGTTCTCCAGCTCAAAGAACATACATTGAGGAAACTTCCTCATCCCCTCCTTCCTCGGATATAATTCCAAGTTAAGCTGTTATTAGTATTTTGTGTATTTCGCGTATGACATCTAGTATCATCACTTGTTTAACTAATTTACTTTTGTCACCTTCATAGTTTATTTTCATACTTGTCTCCATTCTCTTTCGTTAATAACCAATTTTTGTTTAAATGTTTTTATATTGTGTAATCCTAGTCTAAACATACTAGTCTTCAACACCCTCAACACCCCTTGTCAAAATTTTGATTGTTTGTTACTTTTTTAAAATGTTGTGGTCACGTAAATAAAAACAAAAACTAATTTTTATTCTCGTTTAGCAAACTTAATTTACACACATATACATAAATAAATATGCATGTTTGCGAATGTACATCGGCTGAGAGGGTTAGGACATGTTACGGATGCTTAGTCATCGCCTTCCTCGACAATGGCAATGTTAGCTGACATATGGTCAGACTGGAAAAGAGCTGGCGGAGGTCAAACCAAAACATGGCACCAGTCAATGAAATCCACAACAGTTAGTTTAACCCAGCCAGTCACGTAGGAAGATGTAGACTTCCTGTCTATTTGGGGTCCTCGGGACGGTAAAAACCAATGGTTAAAAACAATTGGTGATATGGCTAAAAATCGTCCTCAATGGCGCAGATGCATCCACTCTTTATGACTTATGGTTCCCAATGAAACTGTATTGCTCTTCGTTATTACTCTTCCTTTGTCTCACACCTCTGTTTACTGTCTCTATTATGCATTTCTTCTAATTTCTTCCCTTGCTTTGTGTGCTACAAGGAGGGAGTGTGGCGACTTGAACTGGTGCACATTTGTGCAAAGTTCTGAGTTGAAAACAGACAGACAGTACAACTAGGTGAATTTAATTCGCTGATAAGAGTTTTTTCTCTGAACTGTTCTCATTTTCATGTTTGAAAGTAAACACTTCTTTTTCATTCCTCTACGTTCCCAGTGGAACTTACGGCTTCAAACTTCAGCTTTGAAGTTTCGGTAGCAGTGGTGTTTATTCTTATGGGATGGGTTGTTAGCCTCATGCCCAACCTTCCCTCTTTACCAGTCTTATTACTGGCTTAGCGAGGTAAAGGAGTGCGTCTGTGGCCGGGGATCGAACCCCGAACCATCTGCGTGGTTGGCGAGCATTCTATCGCTGTGCTAACGACGCTTCTAAATGTGGCGAATTTAAAGTATCATGGCTAAAGTCAAGGTCTTCCAAAAGTTGATTTTCAAGAAACTATCAGATGCAAGGAATTCTATGAGATGTCATTCCAAATCTAAACATGCCTGCGTTTGTGAACATGGAGACAGTAGATACAGTATTCTTCTTATTTACTGGCTACTTTTTCTGTAAATCTATTGTTAGTCAAGCTTATGGCTTATAAGATTAAGCTTTAGGGTCTGAGGTTAGGTTTAGGGTTAAAGCTTGGTTTAGGAGTCGGGATTATGGTTAGATTTATGAGTAGTGATAATGTTAATATAGCTTATTCAAGAAACAGTACGTATAATTCAGAATGGAATTCTTATCATTTGTCGCAATATTGCATGTGATTTACTCAAACAATAAATAAAATTAAAAATTAAAAAAATTAACCAGAGGAATTTGTCTACATTTACGATATAAATTCAAAAATATTCGGAGCACGAATTGAGACTATTAAATATAGTAGTAGTAATAATAATAGTGAGTTTGTCTGAAACAGTATTGGCAATTCAGTTTGGAAATTTTAGCATATTATAGGTTATTGAATCTAATGTTTAGTTGATATAGTATAGTGAGGGGAAATGCAAAATTAACAGTTATAACACAGCTTAGTTGATGTTCACACTTATGAAAAAATAAACAAATAAAAACAAAAAATTGAGAGGATTATAAATATAAGAACTACAATAACAATAAAGGTTGATGTTGTAAGAGTGGAAAGAGTGGTTAATGTAGTAGTGCAAAGAAGGGTAGTTAGTTCCTGCCTAACACTATTTTCATCACATACAGTACGTGCCAAATATATTATAGTGGAATTTTTATACGTAGACACGTGCATAAAGTCTTCTAAAAAGACCTATTGTTTTACCTGAGGAGACACACGGTTGGAGCTGCGGGTAAATTAGATATTCACAGTCTGACAAAATTTCTTTAGCAAATTTGTTACATGACATCAAGTGCCTATCAGTGACAATTTCAACGATATGGCCCAATGAGATACCACTCGCCCTACTGACAGACTTCAGATTTCTACGAAGTATGACATAGTCTTTTTTAAGCAATCCAGGAAATATTAAGGGTGAACAGCAAAGAAAAATAGATAAGATGTAAAAGTTGACAAACTGTAAGAGGAAGGGTTGAGTTATGCCTTAGTGCCTTAGCTTGTTAATGTAAAAATTCAGACGAAATATTTTTTCAGAAATCGCTAAGACATGGGAAGACCAGGATAGGTCAGAAGAAAGAATTAATGCAAGATACTTAACTTCGGACTTGGTTTCTATAGCAGTATCATCAATTTTGTAACGACCATAGGAACCAACAGCTTCATTTAACTTTCTTTTACATCGGGAACTGGAATTAACAGTCTGACATTTGGAAGGATTTAGTTTGAGACCATTAGAAAAAGACCCTTTGCTAACACCTGATAGTACAGTCTAGTACAGTCTAGCTGGGAGTTAACAGACATTGAAGTAGTTAGATCGTCCGCATACTTAACAAAGTTCATTTCGTCATCAGAGTGAAGCAAGTCATGCAAGAAGAAAGAAAACAGAAAAGGAGAAAGGACACCGCCTTGAGGGACACTAGCTTCAGTAAGCAATGAAGTGGACGACTTCCCCTGAAATATAGTGTACTGCTTTCTTCCTGAAAAAGAAGAATGCATCCATTTGAAGAATAGTGTCAGAAATATCAATATATTTCAAAATGCCACGACCTACATTCACCTGGGTGAATGCATATATCGCGCATGGTATGATCTCTCTATAGATCATCTGTGTAGTGCTTGAAAGACATTTTTACAACACATAAGCTACACCTACAAAGTGTAATATCATGTTTGCAAGGTTTATATTTAGTATATTTTTCAACGCTCATGCGACTCTTTCGCATGTGAATTTATTTTATTTATTTATTTTTTGATTACAGCTTGATTCCACACTGTATATTTGGTACAAGTATGGAATTTTCAGCTTGGATATCGGTAGCCCAAATTTTGCAGGCCGACCATAGGTACCAGGTGTGCGTCGGCGTGGGCTCAAACCTCGGACCATGTGCATGGTTGGCGAGAGTCCTAACCACTGCGCCACCGACGCAAATACAGACGCTTGTCTGTCTGTCTGTTTCGACATAGAACTTTGCACAAATGTGCACCAGTTCAAGTCTCCACACTCCCTCCTTGTAGCACACAAAGCAAGGGAAGAAATTAGAAGAAATGCATAATAGAGACAGTAAACAGAGGTGTGAGACAAAGGAAGAGTAATAACGAAGAGCAATACAGTTTCATTGGAAATTATAAGTCACAAGGAGTCAATGCATTTGCGCCAGCCATTGAGAACGATTTTCAGACTTATCACTAATTGTTTCCAACCATTGGTACTTACTGTCACGAGGACCACAACTAGGAAGTCTACACCTTCCTACTTGGCTGACTGAAACTAACTGTGGTGGATTTCATTAACTGGTGCCATGTTTTGGTTTGACTGCCGCCAGCTCTTTTCCAGCCTGACCCTATGTCAGCTAACATTGGCCATTGTCGAGGAAGGCGATGGCTAGGCAGGCATACGTAACACATGTCCTAACCATCTCAGTCGATGTAATTTCAGAGTCTCGTGAATTCTGCTTGGTCATTCAAGGTCACTGTGGTTTTGGCTATGATAGTCTAGCTTTGCCCTAAATGTTCATATAACATGCATTGATCTAAATTTTTGTTTTTCATCATACAATTATGCCTTTCTTTTTCAATTTCTTTTTCAGTGCTTCACCAATTCGCTTAGGCTATCATTTTTTTGAAATAAAAATCAGTCCATCCCTGTAAACATGGGCAAAAAACAACATCAAAAGGATAAATTGTAAGCAGGATTGTTTTTTGTGTGCATCACTAAATATGCCTTTTTAAAGATATATTACATGTACAGAATGGAGTACATTATACGGTGGCAAGCGTGCTGTAGAAAGTGGTAGACAATTTAAACGTCTTCCATTTCATTGTTGTAGGTAAGTAAGGTTAAAATTTCATGTCACCATTATTACACAATTTATTTTCTCACCTAAAAGCATTACATTTCAACCATTTCGGAATCCATACTGTACAAAAGAGGGAATCATCTTTGATCTAGAGTAAGCATATTTCTAAACAAACAAAGAAAATCAATAACTTTAGGAATATTCTACCATTTCTAAAAAAGCATGGAATTAATCCAGTCACTGGAAAGGTAAGATAGACATATTGGTCTTATTTTATTGTTGTTGTAGAAAATGAAAATGAGTGAATTGATCAAACTGAATTTCCATCGAAATTCTGATGGCAAATTTCATTGTCCTGTCACCTTCAAGGTGTTCAATGCCAATACGCATATTGTCGCCATTAAACCAACCGGAAACGTGTATTGCTTCGATGTAATGCGCGCCTTCGTTTTGCTTACTTACTTACTTAATAAAAAAATACCCTTCTAGGCTGTTCAACGATTAAATTTGAAAGCGAATAATCTTCTTGACTTGTTGACATCAGAAGCATTCACGAAAGATGATATCATTACAATACAAGATCCTACACAATTGGAAAAATTCAATATCTCAGCATTTTATCATGTTAAAAATAAAGAAGAGGCACAAAGTAGGTATGCAATATATATTCATTACATTGTTTTGCTTCTTACAGACGATGGGAATGTAGTGGTGATACGTTCCTTGAATCAGGAAACGAAAGAAACACTGGCTGAGCTGCCTAAAGAACTTTCTGTGCCAGATTATATGTATTCGGCTAAAAAGAATTCAACAGCAGATTCAGGAAAGAAACGTGACGCTTTCAATACAGTAAATACACAGACATTGATTTTCCATGTTTAGGCTAGCTATTCTACAGGTCGAGCAGCTGCCTCTCTTACTTCAACCGTTATGGAACCAGTGACTATAATTGAACCAGGTTGGTTGAAAGAATTTCGCTAAATAAAATATCTTATCTCTGTTAACAGCTATCCTTGAAGATGATGTAGTTCGTTATAAATATGTCAAAAAGAAAGGCTATGTCAGTTTGGTTACATCACATGGAAAGTTGAATCTTGAACTCCATTGTGATTTGGTGCCTAAAACCTGTGAAAATTTTATACGTCATTGTAGTTCAGGCTATTACAATGACACTACATTTCATCGATTGATTCGATATTTTATTGTAAGTGTTGTGAGGTTTTCGGCAAAACAAAGAGAAGAAGTTTATTACAGTTTTTCTTTAGGTTCAAGGGGGTGATCCAAGTGGGACTGGATTCGGTGGTGAATCAATATGGGGTAAAGCATTTCCAGATGAATTTGTGCCGAATTTAAGCCATGATACACGTGGTGTCTTGTCTATGGCCAACTCTGGACCGAATACAAATCAATCACAGTTGTAAGTTGGCATTTTATTCGCTCATCAATTATGCTTGTTTAGTTTCATCACTTTTCGACAGTGTAAACACTTGGATAGAAAACATACCGTTTTTGGAAAGTATGTTCTCCATCTCTCTTTGTGATGTATGTTTGCCCTAATTATAAAATTTAGAGTTGTCGGAGGACTAGAAATTCTGGGAAAAATTGAAATGTTGGAAACAGATAAAGACGACAGACCATTGGTAAGTGTCAATACATTATTATTATTATTATTTTGCAAATTCCTTCAATTATTTTGAGAATGTTTGTTTTTCGTTATACATAGTGAAAAGAAGAGCTTTTAAATTAAATTTACAATTGACACAGCTCACAGGATAGACGACTGGAACGCTGGAGGAGTAATTTAATTGGCCTACAGCCACACTAAACTTAACAAGCATCTAACACCTCCTTGAATGGGATATAAACACAGTTCCTCCATCCCTAACTGAGGTTACAAAAGCTGTCACTAGTCTGAAATGAGGCAAAGCAGCAGAACCTGATGGAATGACTCCAGAGGTGTTTAAAGAAAGTGGAGAAAGTCTACTCTCTACGTTAACTAAGGTATTAGGCATCGCCTAGGAATCAGAGGTAGTCCCGTTAGGCCGGTGTATGTCATTGATTATCCTAATATACAAGCAGGGAGACAAGTCTCCCTGTGATAATCACAGGGGGATAAGCATGACTAATATGGTATCTAAAGTTCTAGGCTCAATAATAATGCGCAGACTAAGCCGTTCACTGGAGGAACAAATACAAGAGAACCAGGCCGGCTTTAGAGGAGGAAGAGGGATACTGGAACATAGGCATACATACAGGCATCCAATAATCGTTATATTTCTTGACCTAAAGGCGTCATTCGATTCTGTCGACCAAGAGGTTCTCTGGCGATGATTGTCTGTAAAGAGAATGTCAAGAAAATACATTGCACTGATTAAGGCACTCTACTCGAACTCAAGCAGCCAGGTGAGGGCTTACGGCGAGTTGTCATCTGAAGTGGTGACAACTAGTGGTGTCCGTCAGGGATGCCCATTATCCCCTTTTCTACTCAACTTCATCATAGATGTACTAATGGACTTAACCGTATTTCACTTCAGAGACACAGGGATTGACTTGCTATCAGGGAATAATCCCGTTGACTTAGAATATGCAGACGATATAGTCCTTCTAGGCCAGGACGCTGACAAAATGCAGTGTTCTGAACACCTTGATTAACACCAATCTTCGAATGTTTGGCATGCGAATCGCTCCTTTCAAATGTAACAGGAGGCTGCAGGACTAGACCACATTGACTCCTAACTTAAAGATATGGAGTGAATTGGTAGAGAGTGTTAACCACTTCACTTATTTGGAGAGCTGCATCTACCAACGTCGGTGGGTTGAGCCTTGACGAAGTCCCACTACGGATAAAGAAGGCTTGTTTGACATTTGCCAACAACTTGGGCCATCTCTGGCTTAGTAGACGTGATATCCGGCTGGCTGTCGACTCAACGGCCTTTGGACTGCTTAGCAGTTCGCTCTATCCCTTTTTTGGCTCTGAAACATGCCCATCGAAAGTGGAGGATATGGAAAGGTGGGCTAGCTGTCTTTGATCATAGGTGCCTGCATTCTATCTCCCGTGTGCAATGGTATAATGGGATGAGCAATATTGAGGTTAGGCGTCGGTTGACTTCTGCTGCTTAAGAAGGGAAAATCAATCGATGAGGCTGTGAAATTACATCGACTGAGATGGTTAGGACATGTATTACGCATGCCTAGTTATCTGATGTTAGGGCAATGTTATCTGATATAGGGTCAGGCCAGAAAAGAGCTAGCGGCGGTCAAACCAAAACATGGCACCAGTCAATGAAATCCACAACAGTTAGTTTCAGCCAGTCTCGTAGGGAGGTGAAGGCTTCCTGGTTGGGGTCCTCGGGACAGTAAACACCAGTGGTTGTGGACAAATGATGATGATGATATGGCTCGAAATCGTCCTCAATGGCTGGCGGAGATGCATCCACTCCCTATGACTTATGATTTCCAGTGAAACTATATTGTTCTTCGTTTCTACTCTTCCTTTGTCTCACACCTCTGTTTACTGTCTCTATTATGTATTTCTTCTACTTTCTTCTCTGGCTTTGTGTGGTAAATGGAGGGAGTGTAGTAACTTGAACTGGTGCACATCTGTGCAAAGTTCTATGTCGAAAATAGACAGACAGACATGCATGTAATCACAAAATATGGTGGGTGGGACAGGGTAAGAGTAGTTAAAAGTAATCTAGTTAGATGGAAAGAGAGAGAGGTTAATCACTAAAGCTTTGTTTATCGATTCAACATCACAGCGCACGTGCAATCGGAATGGCGCAACGCCTACACCGAAGATTTGGGGAAAGTGGCAACAAACAACAAGGGGAAAATAGACAGACAGAAAGAGAAATTACATATAAGGCAAATTGTGAAAATGTGTGATTAAAATTGTATATGATTATGAGGGACAATAATTTATGTTCGAAACCATGTCATCCAGTTGTTAATACTGCATCCTCTCAGTGTGTGATATTTAAAATAAACTTACCTTATTTATAAAGTTATACTATTATGGAATTATTATATGGAATTACATTCTACCACACACAGTGCTCAAGTTCTACACTTATACACTAATTTGCTAACCAACTGGATCGGATTGATCTAAACACCGTTTGACGGCCAGTTTGCTTGTTTGGTGCAGAGTTTTTATCAGCTGTGCGTGTGTATGCCCGGCAAGAACTTTTAAAAATACACGTCAACTGACTAGACCAGAAAGGATTGTTAATTTCAGCCTTATAAATTAGTTTGTATGAATCGTGTAATGTATTTGCGCAACACATTTCGAACAATCTGATCACACATGGACTTGTCATAGGAATATATATGAAATTAATAAAGAGGTAAGAGGTGAGAAAATAGACCACTTAGGTCAAGTTAAAAGAACATATTCAAGATCAAAATAACAATAAAGACCGTGCGTCGGTGGCACAGTGGTTAGGACTCTCGCCGACCATGCACATGGTCTGGGGTTCGAGCCCGCACCGACGCACATATGATATCTATGGTCGGCCTGCGAATTTTGGGCTACCGATATCCATGCTGAAAATTCCATACTTGTACCGAAAATACAGTGTGGAATCAAGCTGTAAATTAAAAAAAAATCAAACCAAATAGCAGAGGTAATAGTACATCTACTATGGTATCAAAACAAAGTTTACCAAGAAAGGTTTAATGTGATGACGAATTGTTTTTGAACGCAGAAACGTGGCTTGAGCTTTCTTATTGCTAGGGTTTCCACAAACTTTAGGATACGCCCCAAACACGTTTTATAGATAGGTTTAAAGGACGTGTTAACGTCAATTCTATGTCCTGTCTGTATAATATGTTTCGCAATAGGGGAGCTAGGTCTCCTGTTCTCGCCATTAATGGCTTTTGAAGTTGGAATCTTTTTATTGCTTTATCTAAATTCATCGAGGGAACTAATTGTTTTAAATTTATAAATTAGTATAATTTTTATGTCTGGAATTTCCACAGTCTGGTAAAAACCAGTGATTTGCAGGCCTTCGATGTCTTCATCTAAAATTGATGGTAGTAATGTAACTATCTTCATTTCCTATCATTTTCAAACATTCAAACATTAATTATTCTGAACGAAAACGCTGTTGAGTAAACATTTTCTCAAATAACTTTATTTTCATGCCATGTAGTCGAATATCCATGACGACAGATAATACAAGGGCTGGTTTTAACTATTACTGTTGTCACGCACATAAAATATCTGAGGTAGATTCTGGAACACAGGTATATGTGCACTGACGTCCAACACTTGCGATTTTTCTTGGTCTGAAGGCGGGAATCGACTGTATCGACCGAGAAGGTGTACTATGACCAATGTTTGGCCATGAAGGTAGTGCTAACAAAACTATATATTATACTAATCCAAGCACTTTACTCGAACTCACACAACTGTCTAAAAGCTTATGGAAGAGTTGTCATGTCGAGTAACAACAACCATGGGGTATCCATTGTGCATCTTTTTGTGTAGCTTCTTCATAGGTTTACTAATGGAATTGACCCGAACTGATCTTCAGAGACTTTGGGATCGACTTGTCATCAAGCGATAATCTCATTGATCTTCATTGTGACAAGACCTTAAGCAGAAATCTTTGAATATTTGACGTGCAATTTACTCATGTCAGATGTAAACTGTTGCTGCAGAACTGGACTACATCGACGCCTAGCTTAAAGATTAGGGTATGAGGTGGTGATGTGGCGTGTCGACCACTTCACCTAATTGGAGAAGTTGAATCAACCCCAGCAGGCTGATTAGTGATGAAATCGCACCACGGATACATAACACTCATATGACATTTGACAACTTACGCCATCTCTGTCTTAGCAGACGTGGTATCCGGCTATCGATCAAAGGACGTGTGCACTGCAAACCAGTTAGTTTTCTCTGTCCTCCTTTTTGGTTGTGAGGCAGGTACGGCCATTTAGAGTAAAAGATATGAAGAGGCTAGATAAGTTTCTTTGACCACAGATATTTGCGTTTTGTTTCCCATGTTAATTGGCACAACATGTTGAGTAATAAATACTAAGGTTAGGCGTAAACTTTTTGGCAAGTCAGTCGATGACACTGCTGTGCATACTAAGCACTCGCCCTCCTCGACGTGCAATATTTAGCCACCGAAATAGGATTAGGTTGGGAAAGAAATTTAGTAGAGGTCAACCCAAACTCTGGAATCAATCCATGAAGTCATCTTTGACAGTTGGATTTTGCCGCATATGGAGGAGGTGTGGTCCTCGGCTAACTAAGAACCAGAAGCTAGGGATTATTATTATTGACATGGCTAAAAATATGTTCTCAGCTGGACATATGCATTCACTCTTGTGATCCCCTATATCTTCCACATTGTCCTGTTTTTTCCATGTGTTACTATTCTTTCTCCTTCACACTTCCGCCTATCATAGTTCTCTTTCGAATCTCTTTTGTCTGTCTTTGTGTGCTCCATGGAATATGATAGCCTTGTAACAACAGAAGACAAGGGTCAGGCAACAGATCGTTTATTCAACAAATTAACACATATTTATAGATTTTCATGTACATTATTATAGATTATTGTAAGAAAACAAACACAGTCTTCTGATTAGAAGTTTCTCGCTGAACGTTAATCTTTCATCTCTTTGTGGCTGTTTCTTGAAGTTCAGATTATCTACCTGCTAATCGTGTCCGCCTACGCAAAATCTGCTGTGATTGGTTGGTTGTTGAGTCAGTCTTTGTTCTCATGATCAATATTGGGGACGTACAAACTGACGTAAATTACTGTCTACCAGTTTTGGCTAGCAGCCAGCTCTCACCACAGGCGTACTTCGCATACGAAAATCTCAAGAACCAATTTTAGTTATCCTGTTTTTCTCCCTAAGTAATATACATTAAAAGTAACTCTGGCAACTAACCTTTCTCTTGTGTGTCCAAGTTTTTATCTGGCACTTTTTGGTGTTGTTGTTGTTGACGTTTTTAGGAAGATATACAAATTCTAAGTTGTGAAGTATACGTCGATCCATTTAAAGAGATTGAAGAAATGCTGACCAAGGAACGGGCTAATCAGAACAAAGAAAAGGATAATGCTAATAATAATACTGATAATTCGGAGAAAAGTTTACATCCTAAACCGGGAAATCGTCGTGAAGAAGAAGCATTAGAAGCAGCTGAACGCGCTAAGCGTCATAAACAAGACGGTGAGACAATCTGTGTTTTTTTCTTTTTCTCGAGAAATTGTTGGCGGTTGTTATTGTTTGTTACTATCAAGTGTTGGTGTGCAGGGATTCGTTGGTTTGGTCATTGGTCTGATCACGAGTTGACATCATTTAGAGGGGCAACTATTGTAAAACTATCAGGGACTGCTGGACAACTGTTGTTTCACCCTTAGTTTGGGACACTTCAGCAGTATCAACTCATTGAGGTTTGAACACAGGACCTTCCAGGTACAAAGTTGGCTCATAGACCATTCAGTCACCGGAACACAATCGAAATTACCAGCCCGTGAATTCCAACTTCTGTCAATTCTCTCTCTCTCTCTCTCTCTATATATATATATATATATATATATGGCGCAATAGCCAATCAATTTCATAGGCAATTAACTGATCTCTTACGTGACTTGGTTATGACTTGTTGGTATTAGATGGTTGGAGGTCGGAGAGAAACTGCTAAATGAAGAAGATATCATCTCGTGATATTTGTCTTCATGATGCCTTATTCAAGTTTAAGTGTTGTAACGGGGATGATACAGAATTTGTGGAGTTCGTTCTAAAATGTTACTTCACAGCAGCGCGTATATCATATAAAACCTGTGATGCAAGAACTGGCCGGATAGTTTGACAATAATTAGGCGCCGAGTAATGAGAAGTAGACATATGTTAAAATTATATTTGTATAAATCTCAGTCATGAGTAGACATCATAACAAAATCGCATGAACTGTGGTCAAATTCTAATCAGACACATGACAATATAACACAAATTATATACTGCGAAATTGTGTAGAGCAGTGAGCGTCTATCAGTAGTGTGTTAAAATCTAACTAGTTAGTCATCTGACTAACGTGTTGGCAATCTATTGTTTAGTACAATTCGAATTCTGACTGACAGATTATCGACATCTCCACTTTATTCTGTTTTCTGCCATCCTCTTCAGCTTGGTCCTTGATTGATCAAGCTTTCTCATTTCTTCTTTGTCACACAATCTTCTCCATGTCACCCTTGAACCAAAGATCCACTTGTTGCTTCCTATTTGGATTCCACTCGAGGACCTGTCTCGCGATGTCATTCGACGATCTCTTCAGCGTGTATGCACCCAATCCACCTCCATTTTCCCCTACACATATCTTCTGCAATAGGTTTCTGGTTAGTTTCTTCTCAGAGTTTCTCGTTGTTAGTTCTCTCTAGCCGACCGGCTGGCCATTTGATCTTCAATATTGAGCCAACAAAGCAACCTTTTAATAAAAGTCTGAAGTAGCCTGTCGGTGGTGGAAGTGCTTTCCGTGACGCTCACGTCGTGTTTCTGACCCATATAGAAGAAGTGACTGACTGACTTCACATTTGTGTGGAACAGAATCCGAATCTTGCTGTTTATGCTGGCTGTCTGTCTGAGTTAGCGCAGAAGATTTCCACTCTGGTCTCGCGTTGGTTGATGAAGGTGTATGTATCTCGCTTTTCCGATCCTGACTTTGACATTGTTATGTGTTCCGCCCCCTGTGGTTGAAACTATGCTTCCTGGATAAGTGTAGGAATTGGCCTCCTGTATAATTCTCCCGTTGATGGTGATTGGTGTTGGTTGTTGTTGAGGTTCGTTGGTTATCTTTATCACCTCCATATTTGAATTAATTTCGGATATTAGATTCCGTCACGAACCAGCATTTACGTCGGAGAGATCACTAAGAACCAGGGAGTACTGCACAGCTGTTTTTTGTCCTAGTTTCGAACTCCTTGTCAGTACGCACCCATAATCCCACTTCGAACGGACATCCAGGTTAGTAGGTGTAACTCATTGATCAGTGAGCCACTTGGACCGGAATTCAGTGAAGTTTCTGTGAATTTTCACTCTGTCAACTTGTGATGTATGCAGCGCTACCTTCAGCAGCAACACTCTCGATGACCAGCCACTTAGCATCTTAGCATCATGTGGATTCTACCTGGGGTCACGACTTTTCAACTACGACCACCGCTTCAGAACATCCATCCATCTAGTAGGAGTCATCAGCAGCAGTAGCTGAAAATTGATACATATTTACATTATATTTTATCTAGTCAAATGTTGACTGGTGACGAAATCTATTCCTTTGAATTTCATTATGGACAAGATTTTATTTTGATAAATCACACAGTCTTCTATGTCGTGAATTGGCAGAAGTTACAATTCGTGGGCCATCGAATCTGGTCCCAGTGGCTTAATGGTCTATGAGCTCGCCTTGTGACCAGAAGGTCCTGGGTTCGAACCCCGGTGGGTGCGTACTGCTGAAGAGTCTCAGACTAAGACGAAACGGTTGTCCAGTACTCCCAGGTTTTCCAATGGTTCTCTCACTAACGTCAACTCATGATGAAAATTCTGAAATCACGCAGTGTTACACAGTAATATCAGCTGATGACCACTCCTCGATCACAAACTATTGCCACTCATAATCATATCAAGTCACTCACTCACTCACACAACTTTCTTGCTTCATTTATATACATGAGTGGAACTGATGATTAGATATTTGAATAAAATATCAGTATAAGATAAAGTAGATTTGGAAATAATAATATGAGTGTAATTGATCAATTACAATGAGATGGGATATAAGACGTGTGTTTTTATAGTCAAAATAAGTAACTTGCTAGAATGTTGTGATATGTTTGAATTGAAATAGAATTTTAAGATTATTTATTATCCTACTCTGATTTGACTGACTGGTGGTGATAGTATCTTTCATCTATCTGGTATTCGCATTCAGTCATTTCTGTTGCACGTGTTTGGGTGTAGACTCGAGGAACCAGGAAGGATTCAGTAATCCCTCTCTCTCTCTCTCCATCTACTTATATTATTCATTAGAATTCCAACCCTCTCCCACCCTAATGTGAGGTTGTGTGTTAATGCATGCATTGCAATTACTGCACTTTTTTCTAAATTACTTATCTTCATCGGGTCAACCATTCTTACTTTAGCTGAATTTTTATGTTCCGACAATCTGATTACCCCGATCTACTAGTCTGACCCATATAGTTGACTTAACTTACAGTCATTGCAGGGTATTTTGTAAATTATGTTATTTTGTCTAATTGGGTCAACAGGTTCCTTTAATTTAAAGAGCTTGTCCTTGAATGAGTTTGTAGATTTGAATGCCACCCTAATTCCTGCTTTATTAAGAATCCTACGTAGAGTCTGAGATGTTCCCTCCTTATATGGTATAACAGTAGATGACTTATATTCTCTCTTATTTATGTTATCACTACTAGTTTCACAATTATTTTTACTTTGCTTTTGGCCTTTTTCGATCTTCCTAATGAATTTTATAGGATAGTTATTTAACACCCATACCTCTTCTATCTGTTTTTGTTTCAACATTTAGGTCTTTTTGTGCTGCTTACTGCTACTTATCTAGTCAATTCCACACATGTATATAAATGAAGCAAGAAAGTTGTGTGATTGAGTGACTTGATATGATTATAAGTGGCAATAGTTTGTGCTTGAAACGTGGTCGCATCAGTTAATATTACTGTGTAACACTGTGTGACTTTATCAAAATAAAATCTTATCCATATTGGAGGTATACTCTACCACCACAGTGCCCACACTTTATACTTAGACAAAATCTATTAATTGAAATTAACACACAGGTAGTATAGTATCTCGTTCTATGCTTTTGATTATCCTGTTTTATTCTATTCTGTATTTTCCAATATTTTTTTTAGGTAATGTCAAAGTGTTTCGAACAGGTATTGGAAAATTTATTAATGATCTAGAACACTCTGACATTAAGCCTGTAGCTAACAAACACGGAAATCTTGGGGATTCCAGTCTTAATATGAATGAGGAAGTTTTGCGTAAAAAGCAAAAACTAGTGGTAAAATCACAGTTAACAGATTTCAGTGCATGGTGATTTCACTCTTAATGTGGAGTGAGTTTATTTTTCTTGTACATTACTTATAGAATAAATTTCCTCCAAAAAAAAAAACCCATTGTTTTCTTCTTGTTAGTGCAAATGTTTTTTTGTTATTTTTTGATGATCGAAAGTCATTTTAATTCTTGTTAGCATATCGTTAGTATCGTTCTTAGGCGTGTTACATACAGTTAAATTAGAGTGTTCTACTGTGGTGAGAGCTGGCTGCTAGCCAAAATTGGTTGATAATATCTTACGTCAATGTGTACGTCCCCAATATTGGTCGTGAGGAAAAAGAGAACAAAGACTGATTCAACAACTAATCACAGCACACTTTGCGTAGGCGCACACAATTCGCAGATAGATAATCTGAACTATAATAAACGGCCACAAAGAGATGAAAGATTAACGTTCAGCGAGAAACCACCAGTCAGAAGACTGTGTTTGTTTTCTTACAATAATCGATAATAATGTACATGAAAATCTGTAAATATGTGTTGATTTCGTGAATAAACGATCTATTTCCTGGCCCTTGTCTTTTGTTCTTACACTACTGTTATGTACTCGTCGAGTTGTTAATAGTCCTGACGCGGAAAGAGGGAAATCAGAAGACCACCAGGTTTACAATGATAGTTGTATTTTCCAAACAAGGAAAATAAATGTCATACAACAGTATGAGTGAAATGGTACGTAGTGTATGATAACGTGGGAACAAGTATCAACAAGTGTCTAATATAGAAGTATACATAAAAATGGCTAATACACATGAACCAATAGGCAGACAGTCTTATCGTGATTGGTTGTAATGTCATGTGATAACATACATGTTTATTTAGTTAATGGACAGACAAAAGTATATTGTCAGTTATAATGGAATATCGATCCATATACACGTAGCAAAATATAACAGACTATCAAAAACAAAACACACATCATGTGGATACATATCAACTACAACATAGGTTTTACTAATTATCCTAAAATCTCTTCAAGTTTGTGGAGGTAAATTCGATCAAACGCCTAACTTATATGTTTAGAGAGAAGCGGTTACCAGTCTTTCCTTGTCCCCCCTCCCCTCCCCGGTAACTAACAGGATGTTTGTTGGCTTTCCTTTATGTTTGACTGTGTAACCTTTTTGGCTTTAACCTCTCCTTCTTTTGCTATCGTGTAATTCCGCTTGTTTCTTGTTCTTGTATAACTCAGGTTGCAGTTATTAGTTTACTGTCACTATCTTTCCACCCTTGGTCTCTATTACGTAACTCCTTTAGCAGTGTATCCGAGGCGTTTATTTTCTGTGTATAAGTTATATGTCTGTCTGTTTTCGACATAGAACTTTGCACAAATGTGCGGAAGTTCAAGTCGCCACACTCCGTGTAGCACGCGAAGCAAGAGAAGAAAGTACAAGAAAAGCATAATAGAAACAGTGAGCAGAGGTGTGAGACAAAGGAGTAATAAAGAAAAACAAAACAGTTTCATTGGAGATCATAAGTCACAAGGAGTGGATGCATCTGCGCCACTGAGAACGATTTTGAGCCATGTCACCAATTGTTTCCAACCATAGATTTTTACCGTCCCGAGGACCCCAGCCTGGAAGTCTACACCTTCCTACGTGGCTTAGACCAACTGTTGTGGATTTCATTGACTGGTGCCAAGTTTTTGTTTGACCGCCGCTAGCTTTTTTCCAGCCTGACCCTATATCCGCTAACATTGCTCGTCGAGGGAGGCGATGGCTTGGCATACGTAACACATGTCCTAACCATCTCAGTCTTTGTAGCTTCACGACTTCGTCGATTGATTTCCCCTGTTTACCTAGAACTCTACGCCTAACCTCAATGTTGCTCACCTTATTATGCCACTTTACACGGGAAATAGAACGCAGGCACCTATGATCAAAGACAGCTAGTCTTTTCATGTCTTCCACTCTCAGTGGCCAGGTCTCACAACCATAAAGGAGGACGGAGCGGACTGATGAGCAGTACACCCGCCCTTTGGTCGATAGTCGAACATCTCGTCTACGCCAGAGTCGGCGTAAACTAACAAATGCGAAACGAGCCCCTTGTATTCGTGCTGAGATTTCGTCAGAGATCAGCCCGTTGGGGGGCTGATGGTACTTCCCAAATAAGTGAAGCGGTCAACGTGCTCTACCACTTCACTTCCTATTTTTAAACTAGGCGTCGATGTAGTCCAGTCCTGTAACATCATCTTGCATTTGGCGGGAGCGAATCGCATGCCAAACATTCGTAGATTGCAGCTCAAGGTGTTTAGAAGACTCTGCATTTCGTCAGCGTCTTCGCCTAGAAGGACTATATCGTCTGCATATTCCAAGTCAACGAGATTATTCCCCGGTAGCAAGTCAATCCCTGAGTCGCTGAAGTCACCTAGGGTTAAGTCCATTAACACATCTATGATGAAGTTGAATAGAAAAGGAGATAATGGGCATCCTTGACGGACACCACTGGTCGTCATCAGTTCAGATGACAGCTCGCCGTAAGCCCTCACCTGGCTGTATGAGTACGAGTAGAGTGCCTTAATCAGTGCAATATATTTTCTTGGAATTCCCTTTACAGCCAAGCATCTCCAGAGAACTTCTCGATCGACAGAGTCGAATGCTGCCTTTAGGTCAAGAAATATAATGACTGTTGGACGCCGGTAGGAATGCCTATGTTCTAGAATCTGTCGGAGGGTGAAGATATGATCAATACACCCTCTTCCTGGTCTAAAGCCTGCCTGGCTCTCTCGTGTTTGTGCTTCCCGAGCACCACTCAGTCTACGCATGATTATTGAGCCTAAGACTTTAGATACTATATTAGTCAAGCTAATCCCTCTGTGATTATCACAGGAAGACTTGTCTCCCTTCTTGTATATGGGGATAATCAGTGACTTACACCAACCCGATGGGACTTCTTCTGATTCCCAGACGCTGCCTAGTACCTCAGTTAATCCAGACAGTAAGCTGTCTCCACCGTACTTAAATACCTCTGGAGTCATTCCATCAGGTCCCGCTGCTTTGCCTAGTTTCAGATTGGTGACAGCTTTAGTAACCTCAGTTAGGGACGGAGGACCTGTGTATATATCCCATTCAGGGAGGTGTTGGATGCTCGGAAGGTTGAGCGTGGCTGTGGGCAAATTAAACTGCTCCTCATAATGCTCTTTCCAACGATCCAGTCGTCTATCCTGGGAGCTAATTATAGTGCCATTTTTTTCCGAGATTGTCTCACTATGATTTGTCTTCTCCCACCCGTTTCCCTGATGAGTGTAAAGAGTTGCCTGGTGTTGCCTATCCTCGAAGCTTTCTCCATCTCTTTGGCTTTTGTCGCCCACCACTGTTCACGGTCCTTGCGGAGACTTTTCGTAAGTTTCCTCTTGTGCAGCTTTCGCTCCTCATTGAATTCGGAGCTCGCCGGAATAAGTCTTCTAGCATCTATCAGTTCGGATGAGGCGGTGGAGATCCAGTGGTTTTTACTCACCTTTGGGTTTACCTTATTCACAGCTTTTACAGCTGTATCTATGGCTGCCTGGATATTTTTCCAAGCTTCTTCAGGGTGAGCACAGCTGTCGAACACAGATATGTGTTTAGCTAGTTCTTCCTCAAATACGGATTTAGTTTCCTGATCGAGCTGGGGACGTGATGGTTTTATCGCCAGCTTTTGGTAGAACTGGTCCTTCTTTTCATCCGAACTGCAGTCAGTGGGGGCGTAGGCGGAGATTACGGAAAGGTATCGGCGAGTGGTGCAGTCCTTTCTCCTTTTTACTGACCCGTTCAGACGGACAGTACACATTCGGCTATCTACCGGGGTCCAGTCAAGCAATGTCTTTTCTGCCCTAGTACTCAGAGCTATCCCTACACCAGCTAATCTTCGTGAACTAGCTGTGGCATCTCCTGACACCCTCAAGGTGAATTTCGCAGATTCAACCTGTTGGCCAGGTGGGGTTAGATGAATAATCACACTTGGGTCTTGTATGCGTGTTTCTGAAACACAGCATACATCAATGGCTCGGGATGCCAGGGTCTTAGCTAGTGATGCTTGTTGTCCTATTTGGCGCAGTGTCCTAACATTAAATGCTCCTATACGAAATTGGTGGCGCGGCTTTAAGAGGCTGTCGGTGGTGGTTTTTTGGCTTCCGTCGTTTTTAGTGGACACAGAGTGGAGAGGAAGTGAAGGGTTATCAAGCAGAGGAGTTGCATCAGTGGAAGGAAGGCAAAATGATAGAGATGAAGATGAAAACAAAGATGAGTGAGTAATAGAGAGGTTTCGCGTGCGTTTCGGATTGTGAGGGCGATTGTTACTTCCCGGCTGCCCACACCGTGGAAGTTGGTTGCGTGACCGCAGAGCCCAGGGGACAACTGCTTCAGACCGGTCACACGCGGCCTGTTTTCGTTTGTTCTTTATTGTTTTGTATGTCTCAGTAGCATATTTATCACTCCTGCCCTGTGACACGGCAGCAGGAAGCGAGGTCGTTGTTGATCCGGGCCCCAACCGATCCGGCATGATACTTTGTGAGTTTAATTGCATCATAGTATTGGATTGGGTAGTTGCTTTTTGTCTAACCGCTATCCAAACAACCTGCCTGGCATGATAGGACCTCAAGAGACATAAGTCTCAGCCAGTATAGCTTGAATAGGTCATTGTGGTGTTCAATCCCGACTACCTCGTCAAGGTAGCAGCTTTCGGTCGGGGGGATAAGTTATATATATGTATATATAATTATCATAACTCAGAAATAAGTTATATAACTGTAATTTCTGAGTAATGATGATTAATTTCATACATTTGGTTCCCTTGATAAATTTCGATAGCGAAAGAAAGATCAGATTCGCAGTATAAAATGTGATCTCATCATTCTATATCACAGGTTCTCTCTCATTGGCTAACTGCAAACTACCTGAAATTACAATGGTTATAAATAATAACATTTCATACTTCAATGTTTGAAATGTAATAGAGAAAACATCGTAAGATGAACGCATCCGGAATATAAGTATTACAATTTATAGTTCA